CTGTCTCCTCACGTGCACGCCTGCGTGCACCGGGAGCCGCAGTCTCAGCCCACTGGTCGGTGCGAGGCCTAGACGCCGAGCTCAAGCCACGATGTGATGAGCTGCGTGATTGTGGCGCTATAGGTGGCCGCTCGTCGAACCGTGTTTGTCTGTGCGAGGTGCTGCCCGCCCTGCGACCTCGTGAGCCCTGGGCTCGTTGGCGTTGGCGCTCAAGAATACTGCTCATTTCTCCTGCACAAACAAATATATAAGACTCAGCCCGGCTAATATTCAAGATATATGATTAAAATATACCTTCTGTGAACAGGTTTGCCACGTCGACAAACCCGAACACGGCGAGCTGCTCCGAGGTAACCAGGACTTCTAGATCTATTAAATTCTCCCTCCTCGCATACTCAAGCAGTTGATTTTTTAGATCCACATCCCGGGGCAACAGCTGGGGGTAGTTGACATGTGCATTCGGCGTACGCCATTCCGATAGCCGGGCAGCGAGGTCGTTGCTTATCCTTTCTGTCCGCGTGTCGCGAACGAAAATGAACTGCCTTTTCCACCGCGCAACTTTGTTCCTCACATTTTTGAAGAGCTGGCTCTTCTCCCTCCCAGAGAGGTAGTACCACCTCGCACCTCTGGAGTTCGGGCACAGTCGGCACTGGAACAGCGATCTGAAGACTATTGCTTTAGCTGGTACCTCCAACCTCGCGCACAACAGCATAAAGCCTATGATGAACCTTATGCTGTTGAGCGTCAGCTGCATCAGGGCCAGCTCGTAGTCCGCCAGCAGATTGAACACCAGCCTGGGCAAAGGAAATCGCAAGCCGGCATCAAAGTGGTCCACGTACACCGGTATCCAGCCCGTCTGTGACACCGTGCACGCCTTCTAACTCGGTGCGCCAGTTCGCAGCAGTATCGTCTGGGGGATGTGGTACGACCTCACCATTTCCTCCAATTTTCTATATCTGCTTATCGAGGGCGCACGATCTGCCACTTCGTGGTGAAGCGCCGCCCTGAACCTGAACCCAGATGGCAGCTCCTTGGGCACCTTGCGTAGGTTGCTCAGTCTGCCCGTTATTGCCCTGTTCTCCCATTCTCCAATCATAGGCCGATCTGAAACATGGCTCACCACATCCCCCATCCCTTCCCCGCGGCTGGACGCCTCCTCAGAGGACGAGTTGCTAGACGACGCCGTAGGGTGGTCACCACCGTTGTCCCTAGCGCTCGAGTTGGCGTTGCTGCCTGGCGTCATTGTTTCCGGCACATCTTGCAACGTCGGTGGCACTATGATCGTGATAGGCTCCACAGATATAACCCCCTCCCCCTCTTCTTCTCGGCCCTGGTTACCTCGTAGCTCTGTGAGTTCTCTCAAGGAAACCATTTTACCTGAAAATTATGCGAAGTTGTGGTGTGTGGTTCGGTGCTCTGTTCTTCAAGCCGGAGTGCTTCACTACAGAGAGTTTCAGAAGGTGTCAAGCAAACAAGGAAATGCAAATGGAAAAGGAAACAGTTATGCAAAGAGAAATATGGCGTTGTTAATTGTCGTACGCGTGTCTCTGACGCGTCAATTAGCGTCCTGCACGTGTCATGCGCTTAACGCCCCTTTTGCATAGCGTGCGCCGGCTTTAGCTGTCACGTCCCTCAAATGCTGAGCCAGCATTTATGGCGGGGAAGGCAGAGAGATATGGGGAGTTCAATCGTATCTCCTCAGAGATTTGCTTGATTCAAAAAATCCCAAGATTCAGGTCGTAACAGGCTGATGTGTCCCCTGTCCCGTCCACATCAGCTCGTCATTATGACCACATTTACTAGGTCGTCACGAACGTGGAGTTCAATCGTATCTCCTCAGAGATTTGCTTGATTCAAAAAATCCCAAGATTCAGCTCGTCACAGGCTGGCCTGTCCCCTTTCCCGTCCATTTCAGATCGTCATGATGACCACATTTATCAGGTCGTTACAAGGATTGCAGCTTGTGACAGATCACAGACCTTTTCACAGATCATTGGATATCTGAGGTCGCCCCATTTAACACCACTGCGTATGTGAGCTGACAAAGTATAATAACCAAAAATCTCAGATCGTGCTATGGGTGAGATCGCATGTCTCAGCTCGCCATTACGGTTAACTGACAACGTCATCTGGTCGCCTCAGTACCCTCGGTAATAATCATGGGCAAGGTCGTCGCACGTCCTCTTGCGCTTATGTTAACGTGGATGAGCTCGCTGAAATAGCGAATAGCACCTTGTGTACATGACTATTCACTGGGCGAAATCATCTGGTGTGAGCCACTTCAGCTCGTCGCCATAGCAAGCCCACACTAGTGTGGATATGGATATTAGCTCGCCTACACACTTTCAGGTCCGCGAGCTCGCCTCTATTCGTGCCACCCATCAGCTCGGCCATCGTTGAGGTTGGCTGCGAGCTGTCAAGGTTGTCCATCACAATCACCAGCTAGCGCGTTGGCCCACAGACGCATCCAACCCAGTTCGTCAACCGAACGCCGGGGGGGAGTAATGCTGGAATAGGCCCAACATAGGCCCAACATCTAGACAGGGCTGTGCATAACGGGTCTAGACTACCGCCCACTAGCCCAAGTTGAGGGAACACTAATGCAAGCACACCCACGTGACCAACACCACGTGGGCCAATGAAATCCTTACATGTACAGATGCATGTCAGCACTTGGGGCTATAAATACCCCCCAACTAGCTCCGAGAAAGGTAATGAATCTCTACGCTTCTCTCTCTGCAATTACTCCTTGAGAGCATCTCTCTCTAGAATATTGAGTATTGCTGACTTGAGCGTCGGAGTGTTTTCCCCGAGGAAACATCCTCGGGATTTTCAGGTGTAGAAGCAGTTAAGGACTTCAACAGGGTTGGACTACGAAGCTGCCCAAACATCTAGCTACAAAATACAACACTTTTGCCTCAGATTTTGGTATTTTATTCTCTTTCTTTTTTTTTTTTTTTATGGCAGTCTTCACTTTTACTCTGTTAATCTATTGCTTTTTGCACATTCCAAATCCCTTTGTCATTGGATTTTTTATTTTTGGCATAATTATTTTGTTGATCTTTTTCTCTTATATGTTTATTAGCAATTGTTCCCCTTAAATTCACCGATGCAAGGACTCTATGAAGGACTAGAAGTTCAGTGATGGTGGCTTGAGAATTTGAAGTGTTCTTAAACAAAATGGTATTTCAGTTGACAGTAGACTGCTATCTCTATAAAGGGAAAATGAAAATTAGGAAGTCCTTAAATATTTATAAGTTTAATTATTGTTATTGAATATGTAAAATATAATATTAACCTTAATTTTATCAAATTTATTATAAGTTGTTATTAGACATAAAACACCAGAACGCCATGATATTCCCTTCTTCTTTGCTATAAAACAAAAGAGATATTTCTTCTGATTAACAACTATTATTATTTTTATATTGTACATACAACTGTTCGGTTGGGACCTAATAGAAATTTTAAGAATTTGTGGCAGTAATTGTTGAGGATGTACATTCATGCTTTATGATGACTTTTACATGACAGTAAACTATAAATTGCATCTAACTAATATTTTTAATGCAATGGTTGCAGGTGATTTTGAAACGGGTTTCTTGGCCATTTGGGCAGATGATCACATGATTGGAGTTTGCAGTAGAGATATATCTCTATTAGCTTTCAGGTATAAAATGCATGAGAAATTCTGTGAATGTTCTTCGTGTCTAGTTTAGGAAAATCCAATGCAATTTAAAGTAAGACCATGCAAGTGTGAAAAAAGTGAAGTGAATTAATTGAATTTTCGGAAATTAGTGAGATGATTGTTCAAAAAAAAAAAAGAAAAAAGAAAAGAAAAGAAAAAAAGATGTCCAACATTCTACCTCTTTTTGATAGTATATTTCTGAATAACATATCTCAATAATCGTTTAGCTATAATATTGGATACTTCTTTTTTTTTAATCTTTATAATGGATACTTTTTGATCAGTAGGTAATGTATAGAAATGATAATAAGAATTTGATTAGATTAAGGATTCATAGGCAGTATAATTAATTTTCATTTATATTTTTTAGTTTTTTTATGAGTATTTATTTTTTGTGCTATATTGTGCGTTTGAAAATTTATATATTATAATATATAAAAATGATAGGCTATTGGAGTGCTTTTTTTAGGGGAGAGAGCTTTGTAATTCTTTACTTTTATTGTCAATATAATATCATCCTTCTTAAAACAAAATTAAACAATAAAAAAATATAAAATAAAAGTTGCTTTTTGATCTTGTTTTGGATTGAAAAATATTAAAAGAGGAGGATCAATTTATAGCAATTGATTTTGAGTTTACACCTTAGAAAGAGAGAATTTTTCATCAATACTTAACAATGACAGGGGAAGAAACAATGAAGCGTTGAAGAAATACTAATTGACGATTCCCATAAAAAAAAAAAAAATACTAATTAACGATAATTTAATGTTTATGGAGCTTAGTTAATTTTCAAAGTTGAATGATAAAACTTTGATATCCATTGCCAGGTGTATTCAAATTTTCTATTAGGTGTATTTTAAATTTCCAAAACGGTGACTCCACGTTGGAATATAGTCACACAATTATTTGTGATAAAAATAATTTTCTACGAAAATAAATTTTCCACATCAATTTTTTTAAAAATTTTCCATGTAATATCTCTAAAACTAAAAAAGATGAAATGGAGACAATTTTTTTATACAAATAATTTTT